CTCGAAGCCCGCGTGCGCCGGAAGCACCGGCCCCAGCTCCGCCAGCAGCGAGTCGGAGCCAGAGTGCTCGAGGACGAGCCGCAGCGGCGCCTGCGTCACCATCCCCGTGCCGGTCGGCATGAGGTCAAAGCCGGTGAGCGCGTTGATCAGCGACGACTTGCCGGACGACTGCGTCCCAATCACCACCTGCGAGAGCGCGGCGGACACAGGTCGCGATGGGGCGCCATGCGAGCGGGTGCGGCGGCGAGACGTGGGCGCTGTGTGCTGCGGCCGGCGGATGGCAAGGCCGAGGGTGGCTGCGGCGCACAATGTCGGGCGTGTCGAGGTCGGAGAGGTTGTCGACGGCGGCGAGCGCGGCGAGCGCCTCGAGGTGCGCCTTGGAGGAGCGACAGAGGCCGCCCGGGGGCGGGGGAGCCCTTGGCGCTGGCTGCGCCGCCTGCGGTTTCGGCGGCGGCTTGGACTTGCCGGCACGGCGAGGCGAGAGCGCGGAGAAGAAGCCGCCGCGGGGCTTGTTGTTCTCTTGCAGCACCCTCTCCAGCTGCGGCATCGAATCCGAGAATCGAGCTCGAGCTCGAGCCTGAAGAGAGGGGCTCGCGCTGCCTTTTTGAACTTGGGGTCGCTCGCTTTAGCCGCGTCCGCGCGCGCGATTTCTTTTGAAAAAACGCTTGTTGGCGAGCCAAAATGGTGATGTCCTTTTCAAACTCGGGGCCTACGTACGCTCCGACCCGAATTTGGAGGGCAGCCTAGTCCCTAAACTTTAAGGTTTCTCTCTCTCTCTCTCGCGCAAAAGGGGTCGGACACAGGGCGCAGCTCACTCATGCTAAGAGCTAGAAGAGGAGAGAGAGAGAACAACCACCATGTCCCGTTATTGCGTACACCAACACCACAAAAGCTCAACAACAACATCTCTCTCTCTCCCAAAAGCTCTCTCTCTCTCCTGCTCCTCACTCACTTCATTCAGGCAGGGGGGTCACAACTACCGAGTTCCTAGAGTCTAGCTGCCACGTTCAAAACCAGGACGGCGGCAGTGATGGTGCTATCACGGGCATGATCCGTGGAAAGTGGAGAGGGTTCTTGGTATGTATATGGGATAGTAGCGCTTTTTGTGGGTGGCGGGTATGGGCGGCGGCGTTGGGTGGCCGACCGAATCGTTAGCGGAGCTCCTCCCTCAAGCTCTCGGTGACGCGTGACGCACGTTGAGTGACAACGTCGGCGAGCTTCTGAATCAGGTTAGGTTGCTGGAGCACCCTCCAACTCCTCCTCTGAGTCAGACACGCCAATGTCGACAGCGCCCTCCTCCTCCCATTCGTCGACTGCGCCCTCCTCCTCCTCCTCCAATTCGCCGACTGCGCCCTCCTCCTCCATGGGCTCGATCCGATTCCGCAGCGTGTCGTCCCCAGCGGCGGTGCGCGGGAGGCGGCCGCGGGCACGCTGGGCTCGATCAGCGGCTTCCCCTCAAGTTGCGCCGAAAGCACGGATTTGGCGGACGCTTGGTTTCAATTTTACGGATGTCTTGCCACCAGCTGAAGGCTTGCCCGGCTCACATCGCCGCATTTGTGCACGGTATTCGGACTTTGCTATTTGCTCGTGTTGGCAGTTGTATAGCATTCCTATTGCAGATTTGTCAATGGTACCGCGTCTGCGACGCGGGCGCCTTGCGTGCAGAGCGGCTCGCAAAAAAAGAAAAAGAAAACGGACAGCCCAAGGGAGGGATGGGAGGCCCGGCTCGCGGCAACGCTTCGACTTCTTTTCGATTTTTGACCGCGCAAGATATAAAGGGTGGTTATAAGGGCTCTGCCGGCAAGGCGCCCGC